ACGACACGATGTGCGCCTCATCCTTCGCGTCCTCCCGGAGCGTGAACGCGGCGGTGGCGATGTCGGCTTGGTTAACGCGGTACACCTCGGTTGGAACCTGTCGGGGGCGGCCAAGAGGGGGGTGTCCAAGAGGGGGGGGGCAAATCATGACGGGCGGCATGTGCGCGGCCCAGCGGGGGGGCCTGGGGCGTAATGAAATAAGAAGAGGCGCCATGAAATCTGAAGAAAAATCATGGCCCGCGCCATGAAATCCCCCCCCCCCTAGTCATCACCCCCCTCTTTTCCGCTCCCGAAACCTGGCGGAAAAGCTTCAACCAGTCCCGGGCCCGGGCATCCGTCATCGTGCCAGTGTCCACTTCATCGGCGCAGGCCTTGATGGGGGCGTGTAATTTCTCGAAAGCGCTCAAACTCTGCAACTTCTTTGCCACGAACGGCTCGGTAGAGTGTTCCGTCAGTGCAATGGCAATCGTGCGCAGCTTAGAAGGCAGCGCCGACGTTTTCTTGAAGTCGCGCTTGATGAACAGGTCCACGTCGCTCATGTTGATCTGGACATCTGGCGTGGGGTTCATCAGCGTGTCGATCCATGCGAGAGGGACGGAACCAGTGCCGACGACCGTCGCCCCCTCGATGTTGGCGCCCATCGACTCGAGCTTCTTCGCGACAACGCCGATGTCGATCGGGGGGACCACCGCGCCATCGCTAACAGCGACCGGCTCCGCGCTGTCTGCGAACGCCGTCTGCAACACGACGTGCTGCTTGATGGTGGCCAGCCACTTCTGCACATGAATGAAGTAATCTGCGTTCACGCCTGACAGCTCGGGCGCCGCCGTCGTCTGCTCGTCGCGCGGCGACTCGGCGGGGTCAGCAGAGAGGGGCGTCGACGTGGCCTTCGCCTTGGGCCTCTTCGCCGCGGAGGCGCCGGCATCGGTGGCGGATCGTTTCTTTGGGCTCATCGACAGCGCGGCTGGCGCACAGTCGGGGGGGGCCGCCTGCAAGGTCGCCCGCCGGCGGCCTCGCCCTGCTGAGTTAGGTCGGCTGCGATGATAGTTACGTTGGCGGTCTGTGACCGGGGAGACAAAAAGGGCAATGAGGGCGCAGAAGGAATGAGGGATACGGGCGGCAGGGCGGGCCGCGTGAACGGACGCAACTTCTGGACGCGCTCGATTTCGGTTGGTTTTCTGTCAAAGCGTTCCGGAGACTCTCTCCCAGAACGCAATCCGCAACGCCTCCAGCCGCCAAAAAAAGAAAAGTGAACAGAAGCAGAGAACAAGAACCAATCCACACAAAGATACCTCCAACAAGAAAAACCAAAAAAAAAAAAAAACCTCCCAAGGCAAACTAAAACCAACCAAAAAGAAACAAAAAAAACAAAAAAAAAAGAACATACACACAAAAAACAGATAAAAGAGCCTCCCAGCAAGAGAACGAGCACCAGCCAAAACCTCCCTAGACGAAAAAAGAAAAAACGGAGACACAAGTAAGATAACAACAGACCCTCCCAGGGCGCCCCAGCGTGCCGGGGTCTATCCGCGTGGCCCCCGAGGTCCAAATCAGCCAACGCGCCCACATACCCCAGAAGAGAAGGTTGTCCAGAAGTTGGTCCCCCGGCAACGGTGGTAGTAGTAGTAGTTGCGCCACTCGGCCCAAATTTCCCCGATGCCTGAGCGCGCGCCAAATTGATTTGGAGCCTGATGACGTTTGCCCGAAAATTAAGGTCCCAAGGGCCGCCCATCATCCCTGCAATCCAGCGCTCGCGACATCGAGAGGAGTGTCGACATGGGCACCGCGGGAAACCCCGGGTCCAAAAACGTTGTTGACATCTCTGGGGGGGATGGAGGGGCGGGATATATTTTGCTTCCGCCAGCCTCCGCTGGCATTCCGCCGCCGCCCGCCGGACATGAGAGGTCAAGTAGTCGCCCCCTCGACGGCGAGGCCCTGTTCGAAGCCCGCCATTTGCCTGGCTCTTCGGATCGCAGGGCAGGGCTATGGGTTGATCTGGGCAAGAGGCAGGGCAGGGCGATGAAGCATGCGCGCGAGGTTTGGGTCACTGCAGTTTCGGGGAAAGCCGAGGGAGGGGGGATAAAGGGGATTTTGGGGAGGGAGTGGGAGGGGGGGGGGAAGCGGAGAAGGACAGGGACAAGGAAGGCGGAGGGGGGGGAGGCGGAGGGAGGGGGGGAGGCGGAGGGGGGGGGAGGCGGAGCGGGAGGGGGGGGGGGGCGGAGGAGGTGGATGTGACGCAGCACCGCTATCTTCGTTATCTTCGCTAAAAAACTGGCCCGATGGCAGCGCCGTCGTCGTTGACGGCCCGCGCGGCCTGCCGACCTGCGGGCGGGCGCCCGCCGCTAGCAACCGATCTGCTTTACCTTCGTCTTCTTCTGGTTGCACCTATCTGGCAAGCGGCGGGTCGCCAATCCAGACGCCCACAAGGCCTTCTGAAGCACCCGTTCCATGATGTTCACTGGGATCGTGTTGCCGATCATCGCCCCCATCTGCCCGGCTGACACTTTTGTTTTGCAGCTCGACCACGCAGCCAGCTTCTCCGGCAAATCGCAGTCGATGCCAGAGAGCTCAAACAGTTCTGGGAGCGTGACGCGTCGGCCGCGCACCGAGATCCAATAGTCCAATGCATTTGCTCGACGATTCGTAATGCACGGGAAGAGGCCCTCAATGGTCAAGTTGGTGCTCGAGTTGCCGCGCGAGAGGCTGCATCCAATGTCCGTGATGACGATCGTCTTGGCCGGGTTGATCTTCTCTTTCAGGTGAGCTCTATACTTAGTCTTAACAAGGGCCCTGCGCCGTTGGTCTCCTTTAGTAGCTCCTTTCGGGGGGAGTGCCTTCGGGTCGTCTGACGGCGATGCCACCAGGATCTCAGCCAAGGTCCTCTTGAAGCCGACAGGCTTCGGCCACGTGAACGGCTTCGCCCACCCGTCGCGGCACGCGACCATGAACAACCTGTGCCGATGATGGGGGACACCATGATCTTCGCAGTGTAGCGTCTTCACTTGCACGGTGTAGCGGAGCGCCTCCAACTCGGCCTTGATCTCTCGCATCACCCACCTGTGCTGCTTGATCTTGATGTTTGGCACCATCTCGTACGCCACAAGCTTCGGGGTGCGATTCGCAATGTATGCCAAGCTGTGCCGAAACAACGTGTCGCGTGCATCGTCTCCTTCGACAGGTCGGCCCGCAACTCCTTCGGCAGAGAACGACTGGCGCGGCGGGGAGAAATGGTAGTAGTCTACTTCTGGAACAAGCGAGTGGTCTCTCTGCTCGATGTCGTCGTATAGATGCTGGGCGGGCATCGCGGCGGCGTTGAAGCGCTGGACCGCCGGTTCCTTGTCGCAAGAAAACACGTGATCAACAGGTGCACCGAGTTGCCACAACGCAGGAGTGGTGCATTGAGACCCGTAAAGTCTGTACCTAACCGAATCTTCACCATCAAGGCGTGGACGCGGAGGGTGCAACCATCGCAGTAACGCACCAGCTGACTGGCTGCGTCGGGGCCAGAAAAATGGCGAGGGCGGGGGAAGGGGGGGCGGGGGCGGGGGCGGGGGCGCCCCAGTGTGCTCTAGGAGAATGTTTCGTTCTGGAGGATATCTGATCTCGAAGGGGGTGGCTTGAGAGAGAGCGAGAGATATATATATATATAGAGAGATAGAGAGAGAGAGAGAGAGAGAGAGAGAGAGAGAGAGAGAGAGAGAGAAAGCCCGGAGGAGCCCACCCCGGAGTTGGGTGCGCACCTAGTGGGGTACCCCTGCCCTGGCACGACGCCGAGGGTGGCCATCAGCACCCGAAGGTCCCATGTAACCCCTTTGGCGCACCGCCGAGACCGCGCGACTACAAATTGCAAAATCGGACCTCTATGTTGTATGGAAACGAAATCTGTTCACGCAACCACAGCACATCTAGCTATTGTGAATGGCCAGGAGAACCATTGCTTCGCCACGTTCAAAGGTTGCGCCGCCGTGCTGGTGCTTCTACGTTCTATGCGTCTGCGCAACGGAATGTTTTGTTGTATGGCATGCAATGGATTGCGGTGTGGGTGTGTGATGTGTTGCGGCCCAAATACTTTTCATATGCGGCTATGCATATGGATATGCGTATTCGCGATTGTACCTGCTGCGAAAACAATCGCACATGCGCACGGGTGTGCGCTTACATTCGTTCTCACCCGTGCGCTGCGTGCGCGTGCGTACGCGCACACCACGCACGCGTGATACAGGCGGATGGTTGAAACAGAGCCGTGCATTCGACAATTTGTCATGCGCACATACACTCCCCAAGGGTGGAATTTGAAATGACCCCAAAACGAACCACGCAACGCAATGCGAAACAACGCAAGGCAATGAGGAGCGGTTACACTTGTCATGGGTGTTGGCATAGCGGGTTCGTTTTTTGGGATGTGTGTTGCGGTCTTTTAGCTTGTTTACCCGTTGATGCCGATGCGCCGTCGAAGCGCAAGGCTTGGTTGCTTGTTTGTCGTAGGCGACTCTGGGGCCCCTGGGGCTCCGGGCCGACGGCGGCAATTCGGCGAAGCCTTCAGGATCATCTGGGGCGGTCAGCCGGGCGCAGCCCGCAGAATCAACGAAGAGTCAACGGACATCAAAGAGGCCTGAAGAACCAACGATATGTTTCACTTCTCGCATTTGCTCAGGGCCGTACGCTCGCCACCCCTTGGAAAGCACGCCCTACTGCCCGCTCAGACCCTGAGGTCGAAAAACAAGCCTCGCTGCCCATCCTCCTTCCTCCTCCTCCCCCTCCTCCTGCTACTCACCCTCCGCCTCCTCCTCCTCCCTCCTCCTCCTCCCTCCTCCTCCTGCTCCCCCTCCTCCTCCCTTTTCTTATCTTCCTCCATCTTGATTTAGGAAAATGCGTTGCGGATCTTCCTCCTCATCCTCCTTATCATCCTGCTCCTCCTCCTCCTCCTCCCCCGTCATTTCCCCTCCCATCCTCTGCCGTCCCCCCCCTCTTGACGCGCGGGCGTCGCCTCGCACCGAGCCTCACGTGGAACGAGAGATCTCCTCGAGCACCGCAGCCCACTGCGGGCAGCTGGTGCTGTCGTCCTTCAGCTCCTCGAATGACGCCATCATGCCATCCACTGCCGACCGAGTCTTGTTGAGGGCTGCGAGGTACTTGTCATCGTTGGGCTTGTCTGGGAAGGCACCCCAGCGCATGAAGGCGTAGCCGCCATCCGTAGGCACGCTGGCGAGCGCCAAGTGGTTCGGTGGAATTGCCAAGATGCTGCCGATCGCGGCCTCAACGCAGACAATTCCAGGCTTGCCGCGAAGCTCGCCCATCGACGCTGCGTTCAGGCGCTCCATGTACAAGGCCTTCTCTGCGATGGTGCTGCCAGGGCAAGCGTCCGCAGAGACAATCAGGTAGTCGCACTTCCCGCTCAACGGCATGATGATGTCCGCAATGCCGAAGGGCACCATGGAGACCGATGCGGAGGGGCCGATGACCGCGCACAGCTCGGTATCGAAGATGGCACTACCCCAACTCTTCTGCGAGCCGATGAGGTGGCACGCCAGGGCGAACGGCTCTGGAACGCTACTTTCTGGAACTCTTTGACGGACTTCTGAATTGCAGGCTTTGCGATCTGGCATGCGAGGGCTGACGTCTTATCCTTCTTCAGGCGCTTCTCCATCCACTCGTACTGTTTAGTCACCCCATCTGAAGCGCTCAACACCCTGCACTGCGCAGCGATCTCGGGCCGGGCAACCATCACGACCTTCATCGACCACAGGTCTGAAGGGTTCTGAACGATCCCTTGCTTGAAGTTCACGCCCAAGGACTCCCTTAGCGAACCCAACACCTTCCCGCTCGCTATCTCCTGAGCCTGTACACGTGCAGTGGCGCCTTTACCTTCCGTCTTGCTCTGCTTTTCGAGGGCCTTGTTGTAGTCCTTCACCAGCTTGGTGCAGAGAGCGTAGGCGTCCCTGTAGTCTTGAACGCAAGATTTCTTCCTCATCTCGGTCTCCATAGCCTGCAGGTTCTTCTTGAGGTTGCTTAGCTCCTCGGGAGTCTTGCCCTCCAAGACAGACCTCCGCGCCAAGTTACTGTTGATGAATTCGGTTGCTACCTTCTGGATGCGCTCCGCGGCTTCCTTTGTGGCGAGGCTCGTTTTATCCCTGGTAGTGACCTCGTCGTTGCCGAGGTCGATGGTGACAGTGTTCTTGAGCTCCATCTGCATGTTCTCCGAGTCCAGATTGAACTTAGACACCCAGCCTTCAATAGCGGTCTTCCTCGCTTGCACCCAATTCCACGTCTGAAGATTTGCAGCGGTGGCGCTTTGCTCCCTCTTCGGCTTCTTCTTGGATGAGTCTTCGGTGATGCCGACCATCTCCTCGATCTCCGCCTCGTCCTCCTCCTGCTTCTGAGCTCTGCGCTTCAGCTGGGACCCGCACGATTGGCCAATCGCCGAGGCCATGTCCGGCGCCATGCGGGACTGAACATCGGCATCCATGGTGACGTGCGTGGCGAACACCCTGTCAGCGCTCACACCTACCTCCTGCTCGAGAGCACGCTGGTGCTCCATCCACGCTGCCGCTTGTGCATCGCTAGCGTCAATGATGAGCTCGGCGGCCTGCTCTGCACTGGACGCGGTCGCACTCCGCTTGGTTATGACACCTGTCATGTTGGATTCCACCAAGTCTTGGAGGACCCCTTTGAAGACAGGGATGAGCCACTGGTTCATTACCTTCTTGGCGCCAGTCCTCGGGTCAGAAGTCAGCTTCGTCCAAGCATCTTCGATCTGCTGGGCGGTCCAATTCCTGATCAGCTTGCCAGTCTCGAACTCCTCGAATGTCTGCCAATGGATCCTGATGCGCTCCTCGGTCCCCTTCTCCTTCTTCTCGTAGTTCTCGATCTGGTAGTCATCCCAGATGCGCGCCTGGCCTTTCCCGGGCTGCGCGCGCTTCCTCTGGCGCGCGTAGTACTCGGTCTTTTCTTCTGGGCTTGATCGAGCCCACCATGCCTTGAACCTGGCGTCCTTCTTATCCTGGTCAGGATGCTCATGTGGACGCTCAAGCACACGTTGTGGTTCCGAGAGTACACGGAGCTCGTACCCGATGGGATGCTGTCTGTCACGGTAGCGTCGCCCTTGCACTTGATGCAAACCATTGAGATCTTGTCCGGCCTCCCAGGACAGGGGCGGCATTGGCGTGGCGTCTGTGGCGACGCCATCGTGCCATGGACGCCCAAACAACCAAGTTTCGCGTTGGTCTGAAGTCTGAGCCAAAATGGCTACGGAAAGAGGGGAGAGAGGGAAGAATACAGCCAATACCATGACTCACACTTAGATCCGCTAGTATTCTGACTCAACCATGATCAGACTCACTCATACTCAAGCAGACTCCCATACATACTACTTTGCACTTAGGCTCGTACGCACTCATACTCATTCACTCACACTCAGGTCACTCGCGCTCAGACCCACTCAGTCAGATCCACTCGCACTCAGCCTTGCGACGCACCCGCTTCGTCGGGCACGGGGCGTATGACCCCATTTCATTTGTCTCAGCGTTCGAATACACCCGAACTAATTAACTATCTGGGTCGTTGCGAGACACACTCTAAAATCGAAGGCCAAGGGACTCCGCGACTGAACGCATCAGTTGGCGTGAGCTGCAATTGCGTCGTGGATTTCGTGAGGGGCTAGCGGCTAGCTACAGTGACGTCGAGAGAACGACGGGGCGCATGCGCAGCGCCAGAGAACAGTTGCCCTCACGCTACATGCCCGACGACGACGACGAAGCAGGCGACGAGAATTGCCAACTACTGGGAACGGCGCTGAAGAGGTCAAGATGGTGAGACGCAATTGCATCCGCAAAACGCTCGCAGTAGTGCTCGCTCTGCTTCAGCATGCTCTTCTTGCCGTCGTACGTTACCTTGATGGTGCCATCGGCAAGCCTCTTCCTGTGAGAAGTCGTCAAAGTAGACCGATTCCGGCTGCGTGGGACCCTGACGTTCATCTCAATGACCCACGGTGGCGTCCTCATCAGCTTCAGCGTCTTTTGTGGAGCATCGTCCGCATCGAAGGCACCATGGTCGCAAAGGGTAGTTTTCGCCGAGTGCTGCAACAGGAGGGTCTCCATGAGCGTGGTCGCAGTGATCAATGAACTTTGCGGCTGCTCCACGACGTAGAAGCGGCGGCCCCAATTGAGAATGATCGCAATGATCACGAAGCGCTCCAAGACCGAATTGGCTGCCACAGCGTCAGGGTTGTCGAGCTTACCCAAGGGATTAGTGGCGGACCTGCCGAAGGTGTGACGACTCACCCATACCCAAGTCTTGCACTCCAGGCCCCACCAGAACAGTCCGCCGGGACGCAAGCAGCGAGCCGCGCATAGGAACTTCATGAAGCCCAAGTCCGTCGCGAAATCGAGCGACTCGTGGTAGCGCTTGTCGAGGCTGATCCCAGTGAGCCCCAAACCGATGAAGGATGTAGATAAACTTCTGCAACCACTGAAGCCTTCAACGAAATGGAACGTGAACTCACGTGGGCGCTTGGCCATGTTGAAATGCTGCAAGAGCTCCATGATGATCACCTCCTCCAACGAGTAGTTGTGGACTTGCATGTTGGGCATGACCTTGAAAAACAAGAGCAACCAGATGGATTTCGCGTCGTCGGGGAACTCGCTGAGCTCATGGAAGATGGCTGCCTTCGCAGCGTTGTAGTCCGCGGGGAGCGCGGTGAACTCTGGATCGTGTAGTGAGGCCCAGAGCTTAGGTAGCGACGTCGTTGGCCCTACCCACAAGAAACCACCAGGTGTCACGATGTTCATGTACAAGTATTTGTTAGCTTTCGTGTCGTGGACGTTCGTGGGCACCGCTTGGCTCCGCACAGGCTCCAACTCTGAGTCTGAAGAAAAGACCACAGTGGTGTCGTCGTCCTCAATGTTGCCGAGGTTCACGCGGCCGCGGGACAACATGCCTGCCGAAGAACGACTGCACAGTTGTCTAAGGAAGTTCCCTGTGGTCTTTGAGCCAAAATGGATATGGGCAATGAAAACACAAGGCCCCGATGACTGCATCGTACATCACACGGCGTAGGAAGCTTAAATGACAATACATCCCCCGGGGAGGAGGGCCGAACCCTCCCACTGCTCTAGGAAGCCTCGGAAAGGGTCAAGGGGCCCAAAGTAGGCTTGGGATGGCTCCGAGAAGGGGTCAGGGGCCCCAAGACGGCCAGAGATGGCTCCAGTAGAGGTGTTGAGGGCGATCTAGGGATTTTTCGGTTTGTTCTTGGGGGGGGGGCCCACACAATCGGCCGCTGCCTTGGGCCCCTCGCGCCCCGACCTTTCCCCGACACTTCCCCAACACTTCCCCGACACTTCCCCGACCCTTCTCTTATTGTTTTATTAAGAAACCCAACACAACCCCGACACTTCCCGACACTTCCCCGACCCTTCCCGACCCTTCTCCAACACCTCCCAGACCCTTCTCAGAGGTTTTTCCAGTGGTCAGCCTCGCCCTAAGTGCCCGCAGCCCCCCGGGGCGAGAACGCGCCTAACATTGACGACCTCAGGGCGCATGCGCATGGCGTGCTTGCATTTTTGTGATGTCCACGCCCTTTTCTTTGCACCGAGGCTTCGTTGATACACCGAAGGTGTTTTTTTCGAAATCCGCAAGCAACTATACCACCACAGGACGCCGTGGGAATCGACAATGCCACATATAGCACATATGGTGCAGATATATCGCAAAACACATGGCATTTGAGACTACACTGCAGGAAACCTTAGACGCCTGGGACATACAAGACACATGTACCACGTGGCACTTGGACAGACATACCACAGGACATCTGGGGGCACCTGAGACACGCGTTCAAACTTCTGAAGGCTATGCGTCTGGTGGTGATAGGCTATAAAAAAAAAATAAAAAAAAAAAAAAAAAAAAAATCAAAATAAAAAAAAACATTAGAGATATAGAGAGAAAAACAAAAAAAAAACAGAAAAAAAAACAAAAAAAAAAAAAAAAAAAAAAAAAGAAAAAAAAAAGGGCAGATACTTGCAAAAAAAAGAAACACAAAAAAAAGAAACAGATAAAAAGAAAAAAAAAACAAAAAGCAAAAAAAAAAAGAAAATACATAAAAAAAAAAAATACAAAACAAAAAAGAAAAAGAAAAAAAAAAAAAAAAAAAACAAAAAAAAAAACTAAAAACAAGTGAAAAAAAAAAAAAAAAACAAAATAATAAAAACGAAACGGCAAGGAGGACAGTCGGCTTCAGTCAGCGTTCCACAATGGCTTTCGCAGTAGCCATGTGGGCGTCAGATGGATAAAAATATGCGTGGGCTTCCCTGCCGTTGGTCCCTCGACCAAACATCGCCCATGCAATAAGAAAGGCACAACACTCATTTTCAGAGCTGTGAAGATGCACATGCGTATATCTGCAGCAGAGGACGCCGACTGAGTGATCGTCGTTGCCGCACTTAATGCACGCCCGGCGCGCCCCGCTCTGATGAGAGCACCCGTCGAACATGACTTTGAACATGCCATCTCCAAAGCGTCGCTGGAATGGGCGAGCTTGAGGCATAATCGGGGCTGGCACCATGGCTGCAAAGTCAGCCACGCCATCATCGATGGCAAGCGCCGGGCCGTCAGCCAGGGCAAGTGGGGCTATGTCAACCCCTTCTCCTGTCAAGAGTCGAAGGAAATCCTGATTCTTATACCTGGGGAAGTCTGCGTCTGCTAACATGGCTCCCAATTTGTCCACAGGCAGATGTAGCAAACACTCATAATAACCTTGAGGCTTGTTGTGCAGGACCTCTGTCACGCCCCGCTCTCCTAGAATAGAGCCAGCGCTATGCAAAGCAATCCAATACGACTTGCTGCGGAAGATGTTCTCGATAGCAAACACTGAATCGGCCGCTGCCTTGATCGAATCTGGATATCGCTGTGGCTCCCAGCCCATGCAGAGCAACCCCTGTACCAAAGCAAGTTTAGACATGTCCCGGAGACTGCACACATCCTTCTCAGCCCAGACCAAACCCACGGGGTTGAACCCTACCTGATCGGATGTCCACTTGACTTTCGCCCAGTCCAACCTCAATACCGAGTCGTCGAAATCGCTCACCTCCTTGACCACGATGCCAGACTGGAACAATGACTTCAGGGCAACAATGTTGAGATCATCAAGAGCAGGATTGCCAACCTCTGGGACGCCGTCAGGATAGCGCTTGCTCAGATCAGCCAGCGCCACGAGAACCTTACGATGGCCGTCGACGACGTCATCAACGGGTACAATCTCCAGACCCGCCTCGCCCTCTTCTCCAGGCGGTCCTGCTGGAGGTTGATCCTCCAAGGCCAGCAGCTCACCATCCATCGCGACCAGACTTGTGTCCACGTGAGCGAGGGACCAAACCCTCACTGAAGCAGACGCGTGTCGAAGACCAGGTCGGGTAGTCCACTGCGCCAAATCGAGCAACTCCGAAGTGTAATTGGCAATCTCCATCCGCATACGACCTGACGATGGAGAAAAAAAAAAAAAAAACAACCAATGCAATCCAACCATGAGGCTAGTTTGGGATGTGCCTGACTCACGACTCACCCCCCTGGAAGGGTTCACATTCGTTTGTGGCCAGCCTTGGACATCTAACCGCAATCGTGGAATGCATTGGACGTTCTGCCCCATCGGACCTGGCTCAATGATCTCGATGCATTTCAGCTCACGGACGCTGATGCAGGATGACGGTATGCGTGCCCCAGTCGCAGTGCGAGCTGCCGTTCGGCCGCTCGGATTAAGGTGGAGAACCTCGTAAAACTTCAACTCCTCACCGGGCGGTGGCGGCCCAGGGATAGGATCCGCCCTGAAGATGTCAATGATAAAATCAGCATCACATGGTGGTTCTGGATCTGCATCAGGCTCTGGTCCACCATGAACACGCATTGAAAGCAACGCCCCTCGTCGAAGAACGAACTTGAAATGATCAACCAAGCAGGACTGAGACTCTGTGAGAGGTGGCGGCCTGGGCACCGCGACTTGATCGGCGACCGTCGTGCGCCAAGCGCGCATGCAGTCCCTCACGCCTGCATCTGTGCCAAAGCAGGACTTCTCGTCGTAAACATAAAGCTTCTCCAATCGCTTGGCCGGGGTCATGCAATGAAGCGTGGTCGAGTTCATAGTGTGACGGAGCAATTGAAGCCATGAGGTTCTCCCATACCATTCTGTCTCCAGTACATGCCAGAATAATTCTTGTTCGACTGCTTCTCGGACTTGGCAGTGTCGCAAATTTGCGCAGACGCTCGGAGGTAATTTTGTGTTGGTCAAAGCCTGCTTGCCATCAGCGCCGATAATTGAGTGCTGCCCTTCCAGCCGCCGTTCCACGAGTAGGAGCGCACTGGCGACGACCAGCTCCTGAAACAAAACCCACCACTCATGTAGAGGCACGCGGTCCGCACCTATATACTCTTGCCCCGCTGTTCGTAGATCGCCAGGTTGTAAGAACAACGACAAGCAACCAGGACATTTAGATTTGTCGGCCAAAGCGTCGTACCAAGCAAATGCTTCGACGTAGGCCTCCTTCGAAGCAGCCATCGACCCACCGAAATAAGAAGACATCACTCTCAAGAACTTGAACGGATACTCAGTCGCATATGCAAATTTTGCCGACAGCTCTTCTGCCATGGCAGTGACAAAGATGTCGTTGGCCTGAAGGAAGCCAGCACGAGAAAGCCCATCGCAATTGATGAGCAACCGAGTGAGCCTATCACTAGTAGCTCCCACCAAAGATGTTTGGGCATGTTGCGAACGACCCATGGCGATTTCAACTATGCGACGCCCTGCCCACGGGCACCGCTCATAATCCCCGCGCTTGCGGCCCTGCCCAAGCAATAAATCTTCATCTCGATCGGCCCGGCGCGGATGGCAATGGCAACCCTCGAGCCAAGACGCCTCCGTGCAAACGGCCTTCACCTTTACGAAAAGCAACTCGACCAATGTTTCGAGTGATGGTATAGCAAGTGTAGTTGTGACTCTGCCGATGATGCTGTTGTCGTGGACGTCTACGTCGCCCCCGTCCCGATTCGCCTCGCTGCTCGACATTTTGTCAGAGTCCCAGAGCTCAATCAAAAGTTTGATGCGGTACCTCAGCTGCAACAAGAACACATAGAGCTTCTCCCACCTCCATGAGAAATTTCCGCCAGACCATCCCTTGAAAACAGAAGCCGCGTGAGCGCGGTTAGAACGACATTTGCTGATAAGTCGTCGCCGCAAGCCCCGCTTGCCAAGGAAGACGCCCAAAGACCTGAGGCCTGTCTCGAGCTCTTTCCAATGTGGCATTGCATTTACGCCCTTCTTCAATGCGTTAAACAAGATATGCAAGTGGCCTGGGGTCTCCCATGCGCGTGGCCACATTCGCCCTCGCATAACGTCGACGTCGCTGATGTTCAGAGCTCCAGTCCTGAGACGATTAATGATATCGTTGGCCCCATCCATACCAAGAATATTCGGACAAGCCCACAAGTCCATCTCTGTACCCTGGTCGGCGTAACCCTGTCGCATTTTGGAACGGTATGCCTCCTGATGAGTCTCCCCAGCCTCGAGAATGCATATATGGGCCATGCGCGCATGTTTCTTGCCCAGCCCTGACTCACCCCACCCCAATGTCGTTAAAGGTTTGGTGCGGCTTTCGACTGTAAGAACTGCGAGTGGGGTATTCTCCCACCCGGGTCTGCGCTTGACGGTCAGGACCTCCTCCCGGACGATGAAGAAGTCCTCGCCTATTTGTGGGGAGGAGTCGGCGCCGAGCTGGAAGAAGCAATCCTGATAGTATCCGCGGTCCCACTGAGCCCTACGGTACAACATAAGCATGCGGTCCATCTTCGCCCTCCATCTGTCAAGAGTTGTACGATTTGGAAATCGACGTTGGGGCTCTTCAGCAGAACCGTTGTACTTCAAGGCGTTCTTCACGACGAGCTCGAACCGATCTT